CTCCAAAAGAATTTTTTTTAAATACTACCTTTAACTAATCAATAGAGGCTTCCATGAATAGTATAAGTTTGTTTGCAAAAAAAAAAAAAAAAAAAAAAAAAAAAAAAGTAAGATATATAGTAAAAACCCCTGTTTAGAAACTCTAATGCCCTTTCAATTCCCTACAAGTTATTCCATGACAATGATATGACTAACGGGATTGATAAGCAGAACAAAGAGATAATGAGAGATGACATCTCCTTGACCGATACCCCTAGTTAGTTGGAACCACTCATATTGCTTCACATTCCAAAGTATAACCATTTGAGGAGCTTCCACACAATTCATTGTGTTCCTCGCTTAAGAGGTGTTGAAACCAAATTTTAAGAGGGTAGCACAAATAAAGCCCCAATCAAACTTGTCATGGACTTTTTATAAATCCACGTACTTTGAGCACCATGTAGCCCGACCTTGTTCCATGTCTTCTATTTCATCGAGTTGATCGAGCACATTTTGATAAACAAATATGTGTAGGAGTCCATTGCATGACAATCAAGTAGAGGTCCATAACCATCCAGGGGCTTTCATACTTGGCATACTCGTAGTGCTCAAGAGAAGCAAACTTTGGCCAAAGAGGCAAAGAATACTTGTTTCTAAGAGCTACTAGGTCCAATGATGCTTTGAGGGTGCTACATGGCCTTAACACTGTGAATAAAATATGGACAACTCACAACTCTACCGATGATCATTTTAATGATCAAGATGCGCACCCAAGGACACCTAAACCTAATTATCTTCTCATTCTTAGTTAACTCAATGACTGAGCAGTCCACTTCATCATTGTCTTCGGCCAAATTTTTTATGATTAGAGATGTCGAAATCCTCTACCCCGAGTTGTCGAACACCTTAAAAGTTAATGTGACTAGCAAGCGTATCCTTATATGAAAATCTCTACATGGAGGCATTGAGACCACTCTCTTCTACTTTTGATGTCTCTATGACAACATCCTCAAAGCTAGCTAGGCACTAAGTTGTTTGAAGTTGCCTTTGCCTTCTTGGTGTTACATTCTAGCAAGTCCTCGTCCTCTAATGAACGCATTAATAAGAACTTATTTTGAAATTACATGCTAGAAATTTTTTTATTATAGATTTCAACATGGTAATTATAAATCATATTTCTTTTTTAAAAAAATGTTAGTTACAAAAATCTCACTAATTGGAAATGAAGGAAATTTGAGGACTCACCAAAGTCAAAGGGTGATGATTACCATGATGTAAAGTCAAAGGTGATGATGATTACCATGACTTAAAGTCAAAGCACAAAACTCGGACTTTTTTAATTAACATACTGTCATTAATTCTCTTATAAAAAGGCTGAACTTTAGCTAATTTTAAGTCTCCGTGACCTCACTCTATCTTAAGATCTTGTAGAAAAATAAATTATGAAATATATTTTAATGAGTTATAAACAAAAAAATTTACTTTCTATAGTGGTGCCTGCATAATTAATACACGAAGTTTTTAGCATACTCTACTGAATTTTTAAACTCAACTACTTAAACAATCTCAAATACCCACAATTATAAGGAACACTTAGCTTCCAGGTTCATGTAAAATGGAGGGATAAGCTCTTGATAATAGACACACACAACGATGCATATGGTTGACCAGGCGAATTATTATTATTATTATTATTATTATTATTATTATTATTATTATATATATATATATATATATATATATATATATATAATTGTGACATTTATCAAATATCATATCATTAGAAAAACATTTAATAAATAAATAATGTCTAAAATAACATTTTTATATTTGTTAACTACTCATACTTGAACTTGGTTTAAATCAAATTTTATTTATAATCCTTATATAATATTATAAATTGACTAAATAAAGTCACGTAAAATTATTTTTAAAAACATTATTTGTTAAGAAAAAGTTTGATGTGCGTAATATTATGTAAACTTATACTCCATAATAATTATCCGAAATTATGTGTCTATGAATTTTCGTGGTATATATTATGTAATTCTCGAACTTAAATTCTTAAGATTTTTATCAAACTGATGAGCAATTGTTATTAATTAAAACTAATAAAACACAATAACATATTATTATATAAAAATATGGTTTAATTTACTTCAATTCATTCGCTTTTGTTTCATGTTATGTTATCACCCATGAAGAATTGAATACATGCAATTTGATTTTCAATTGCTTTAATTCTATTTTACAACAACAGCTATTATGTTTGCATGCATTGTTACATACGTTAAGACAACATCGGAGATTATTAAACTAACGTTTTGTCTCTGCTTTTACCAATTTTGTTGTCGTTCCATCCTCCAAAGCCCTTGTCTCCGCCGCTTCCGAATCCGCCGCCAAACCCTCCACCTTCTCCAACTCCTCCGTCGTCGCCGCCTTTACCAAACCCGCCGCCGAAGCCTCCGCCTTCCCCTCCTCCGGGGCCGCCTTTACCGAATCCTCCTCCAAAGCCTCCGCCTTCTCCTCCTCCGGTGCCTTTACCATACCCGCCGCCGAATCCTCCTCCCATCCCACCACCTTTGTCAGCGCCCCAATTATCATCACCTCCATCGTCACCGCCACTTTTCCCGAATCCGCCGCCAAAGCCCCCACCTTCCCCTGAACCTCCGGGGCCGCCGCCTTTTCCGTATCCGCCGCCTCCGCCTCCGCCTTCCCCTCCTCCGGGGCCGCCTTTTCCGAAACCTCCTCCTCCGCCCCCGCCCTCCCCTCCTCCGGAGCCTTTACCGAACCCGCCCCCAAAACCTCCACCAAACCCTCCACCACCTTTCTTTTTGCCCCAATTACCAAATCCACCGTCACCGTCACCATCTCCGTCGTCAAACGGCCCCCCAAACTTTCCAACGCCCCAGTCAGTAGTATCTCCATTAATGCCTTTACCAAAGCCTCCATCAAGATCTCCAATCAAACCTCCAATTCCACCAACGTTGCTTATGCCCCCTCCACATAGTATATTACCTGGCCCACACCCTGGTGCAGGTGTAACCGGAGGCCACCCACAACAACCACCTCCCGGCACCGCCGGTGTAGCTGGAGGACCACCTCCCGGAGTAGCCGGAGGGCCAACTCCGGGCACAAGAGTAGCCGGAGGACCAACTGCAGGCACGGGTGTAGCCGGAGGACCAACTGCCGGCACGGGTGTAGCCGGAGGACCAACTCCGGGCACAGGAGTAGCCGGAGGACCAACTCCCGGCACAGGTGTCGCCGGAGGGACAACTCCGGGGAGAGGTGGCAATAGTCCTCCATGCAAAAAGTGGTCAATCTTTCCAAGACAATCAGGTTTTGCAGTAAAAGTAGCAGCACTAAGCTTAGCGAAGAGAGCAAAGAATATGCATGACAGAAAAATGGCGTCTTTCTTGATCTTCACCATTTTGAGAGTGTGTAGGTACAAAGTGTTGTATTGCAAGCTGGGAATTTATATAATGGGGTATCCGTTACATGCACAATTAATAATGAGTTTATCAACTACTAAACTCATTCCTATCAGCGCCCATTTATTTCTCTTCACAGAATTACATAAAAGAATAGTAATAAATGATCGAAAGTCTGATTATGGTTGGGTAAGTCTCACTTTAATTACTACACCTCTATTCAACTCTATTAATTGAAGCTACACATGCACTTACGTAACATTCTATATATATGCAGTCATCTATGGATTTATTTTTTTTTAATCTAAGTATATTACATTGATTTTTAACTAATAAGATAGAGTCAAATTGCCTATAATCAAACATTATCTATATGATAAGGGGTGTTTGGTAAAAAGTTATTTTCAACATTACCTAAGAATCATTATTGTATGGACCATATTTTGTATATTATAAAATAAGCTAAGGTACATTCAGTACAAACTATTTTGTATAATATACATTCAGTACACGAATAATGTATATTTAGTATATTAAAAATGTACTTTTTGTTATGGTCCACACAATTTTTATTTTTATTTTTTTTGGTGTCAACCACAATGTGATCCAGGTCCGAGCCCAGATTATTCTAGAATTCTTCCCCACAAAGAGAGCTCATTTACTACTTGAACTACTTTATTAGGTTGTCCAAACAATAATTTGCCATTACCTAATTCACCTTTAAAAATCAAATAAATAAATCATCAAGAATAAACCCACGAGCCCAACTTGCTATTAGAACTTCTGTTGGCGCATTCAAAAGTGGGCTTCTGCGTGTTGTAATCAAATATACTGACAACGTAAAATGAAAAGAATATATGGGATGATTTGGAATTTATATTAATGGGCCTCCAAAATACAAGCGTAAAGTACCTCCAACCATCCTAGGATTCCTAGCCCAAAACTTGAATATGGCCTTAGAGTTGAGTGTAGTGGTTCATCGCTTAACTTAATATCACGATTGAAAATGACAATGTAGTGGGGCTCGAATGTCATTGAAAACATGAGAATGATAACGTATGAATTGGATCCCTTGTGCACGTATGAAGATTAGGGTTTGATCGGTAGACTGATTGCACGTCTCACGACTCAACAGTTACTCTAAGGTCATTATCCTACGGGCTTAAGATTAGTCCGACGAAATTGGAATTACCTAAGTATTTTTTTTTTAAAATGAGACTACAAGAGGAAATTCCTAATGGTTATACTATAGACCAAAATTCACCTAATTAAAAAGATGGAAATTCCTAATGACACTAATATTAGATTTCCATATAAGAGTTTATGGGTTCCCGTCTCAGTGGAGACGGTATTGACTATTTATGTATACTACATTGTAATGGATGGAGTCAATAATAGCTTTCAAAAAAATTACAAATTAATAACTAAAGTGGTAATTTAATGTTTTTAATAACATGATGAATATTTTTTGTTTTCAGAGGTTTTGGGTGATGGGACTTTATCCAAGGACCAAGCGGACCAAGCCAATAGGCATCTTATTGACAGAAAGTAAAATAAAAGTGAGGGCAGAAGCGTAAACACGATCTTAGCTCTGAGAACTCTTTGACACCTCAGTTCCCAATCTCCCCTCTTTTCTTCCACTATCAAAACCCTAATCTCCGAGATCAGAGCTCCAAGGTCTGTAATTCCTTTCATTTTTCCCTTTCTTATTTTGAAGTTTCCTTCAAACCCATATCAATTTCGCCTCTAATTTTGGTTTTCAACAATAAAGTTCTCCAATTTTCTGTCAAGAATAAGGGGGGAAAAAACCCAATTTATTTATATAGATATAAAGAAAGAGGTTCGAGCTGGCGGGGAGAAGATATTCCGAAGATATGGATGATTCTGATGATGAAGGAAGGTACTCACAAAAACCCACTTCTGTTTACAGCTTTTCTTCTCGATCGAGACGCCCAATTAGGAACCCTAGCTCTTATCCTAAAGACACCCATTATAGTAGATACAAGAACGAATATGAATACGATGATACTGAAGAGTCTGATGAAGGAGAAGATGATCCGGAATTCAACGGGGGGGCTGAGAATGGGTATGATTTCAGGAACAAGAAGAAAAGAAAGATGGAGTCTTTAGCGTCAAATTACGAGTTTGCCCCTCGTGCCGTGGGAAATTTACAAGGAACTACGCGAGGTGGAGGGAGCTCGAGGGGGGCGTGGAGTGAGGAGGAGAGTTTCGTGTTGTTGGAGGTGTGGGGGGAGAGATATTTGGAGTTGGGGAGGAGAAGTTTGAGGGGTGAGGATTGGGTTGATGTAGCTGAGAAGGTTTCAGAGCTGATTGGGGTGGAGAAGAGCGAGATCGACTGTAGGAATCAGTTGGATGTGTTGAAGAAGAAGTACAAGAAGGAGAGGGAGAAGATGGAGAAAATGGGAGGTGGGTTTTCGAGCAAGTGGCCTTTTTTCAAGAAAATGGATGTATTGATGAATTTGAGGATGAAAGGGCATTGTGGGTTGGGTTGTGGGGTTGATTCTGGCGAGTACGTGTTTATGGACCCTCGAATGTATTTAGATAGGTCTAACGTTATGGATGAGATGAGGGATAGTCCTGCAGGATCGGATGTAGATAACGAGGACGAGCAAGAAGAGATGGAAGGGGATGCAGGATGGGAGGAAGACGAGGAATCTGCCAAGTTGTTAGCCGAGTCGATTCAAAGGTTCGGGGATATATATGAGAAGATTGAGAATAGTAAGAGGAAACAAATGATGGAATTGGAAAAGATGAAGTGGGAATTCCAGAGGGAATTGGAGATGCAAAAGAAGCAAATTGTTGAGAGGGCACAGGCAGAAATTGCTAAGATAAGGGATACAGAAGATAGCGGTGGGGATGATGATGAAGACGATGAAGAGGAGGAGAACAATAATGTTTCAGCTGAGAAGCTCAATGGGTGATGCAGGTGATTAAATATAGTTATGGACATTTACTATTCAATAAGCCCTATGAAAGAATATATCACTCTCCTATCTGTTATTTTCTTATATGTCTGTATTTGTAGCATTTTACTTTTAGTTGTTTATGGTAATTGATAACATATGATAGGAATCTTCAATGCTACCTATGTAGATTGTTTGCTTTTCTTGTTTCTTGGTTAGAATTGCTAACGTTTTACTTTCATTTGGTAAAGATAAATTAGACTTCGGTTTTCTACTATGCAAATGTCCTTTTGAAAGAGCTGAGTGCAGTAGTTGTGCTATTTTTTCTACATATCCTCTGTGTTTATCAATCCACTTCAAGTTTATATACAGATTTTGGACCTCACAAAAACTGTGACAAAATTTAGTATGGTAAGTTTGACATTCTGTCAAGTGAGATTTATTATAGAGTAATCCTGAGTCTTTATTTTATTTTTAATCGTTTAACCTTAGATGAATATGCTATATGCCTCATTCTTTTACATGTTCTCAGGCCATTGCCCTTATGAGTATGGTGACCCTTTACTTTGAGAAAACATATTTCGAAAGCTTTAACTATTTGAGAAAATGTCATGTCTCAAATGGTTAAATTCTTGTTTGCAGGGCATAGTGGGAAGAAGATGATTAGAGAGCAGAAGTCATGTGTTCTCGAGCAACTTTTCTTTTTTCTTTTTTTTCTTGTATTGTAAGCAGCTGATGGATGAATTGGCTTTAATACTGCATAATTTGCACTTTTGTTTATTGATTAGATTATGACAATGAAGTTGAAAGTTAGCTCAAATAAGAATTTCTACTTTTCATTTTAGCACATATTTGTTTATTTGCAGGTGCGACATTTGAATCTGTTGCTTGTCATTTTGTTGTTGCACAAAACATAACTATACTTATATATCATCATAGAATTTTCCATATGATGAAACATTATAAACACCTCCTTAAGTTGGTAGCAATACATGTAGAGAGTCAAATTTCATTAATACACATTGCATTCTTGTGACACTCCAGGCGCCTTCGCACCTTGGCCCGACAATTTGTGGAGGATACACGTTGCATTTTGTAGTACGGATCAAGTTTGGCAGCCGCAGTATGGTAGATTATGAGCAAAGACATATAGTTTGTGGAAGATAGTTTGTGGAAGATACTCATTGCATTCTGTAGTACCAGATAGCAGATTATGAGCAAAGACATAGTTTGTGGAAGATACACATTGCATTCTGTAGTACCAGATAGCAGATTATGAGCAAAGATTGAGCATGACAGACGCAGTGTAGGAGTCTGATTATAGGCAAAGACACAAGATCGAGCCTAATAGTTGCAGTGTGAGAGTGATCGAGCCTAATAGTTGCAGTGTGAGAGTTACATCCAATGTCCTGAGTTTCGGTGAGCTCCTACCCCTCCATTATCCTATGAGGACGAGAAAATTTTGTCTTATGTGAGCAAGATAGCAACACACAAGTACCTCTGATCTTCCACTTCCACCAGTAATAGATAACAATATGAAATTGATGATATAAGTTTATTTTGAATTAAAAGTTACTCTTTCTTATTACTGTGGGGATCTCCGAGTTTGAAATTGGATGGAAAAACTACATTCTTGAAATAAAATGAAATTTTGCATTGCATAATCATAATCATAATCTGGGTTCACTGCTGACAACCCTAGCACCAACCCTATCAAGCCTCTTCACCATAGCCAAAGCCTTGAGATGCCCTTCCTGGAAGAAGGCTTCCACCATTCTTTTCCCAATCTCCATTCCTCTTTCTTCATCATCCGTAACTGCCACTGCAGTGGGTCCGGCGCCGCTAATGGTGCACCCGAAAGCTCCTGCCTCAATAGCCGCCTTCTTCACTGCCTCCATCCCAGGAATCAATGGAGCTCTTCTCGGCTCCACTATCTTATCCGACGACAGAGCCTTTCCCAGCCCCGGCAAGTCTCCTTGCAGAACAGACGCCACCAGAGCTCCGGCCTGACTGCAGTTCCACACATGGCTGGACATCGGTATTTCCGCCGGCAGCGCCGCCCTCATCTTCTTCGTGGGAGCTTCGAATTCTGGGTTCACCATCACAAAGAGGAGGTTTTTTTCTTGTGGGAATTTCAATTGGATCAGCTCCAATGGATCGTAGCTCCGAATGAGCACAAACCCTCCCATGATAGAAGGCGCCACGTTGTCCGCGTGGTAGCCGGAGACCTTAGATTCCGATTCTAGGCCGGCGAAGACGAGGTCGGAGACGGACAATCGGCTGCCGAATAGGTCATTGACGGCGACGGCGGCGGCGGCAGCGCTGGCGGCGCTGGACCCTAATCCACTCCCCAAAGGCAAGCCCTTGTTTAGGGAGAGGGAGAGCCCGACAGATCGGATATTAAGCATCTTCATAACGGCAATGGCGGCAATACCGGCACAGTTGGAGAGCGGATCCTTGCTGAGCTTATTCCCATCTCCGGAGATTTCGGAAATGGAGACTTGTCCGGGAGGAACGTCTGGATCAACGCGGACGGTGACGAAATCGCCGATTCCATCGACGGCGCAGCCGAGGAAGTCGAAGCCGGGGCCAAGATTAGCGACGGTGGCAGGTGCAAAAGACTTGACGGAAGCGTAAACGGGTTCTGGGTCAGAAACGGTGAGGGAGGAATACGTGAGCGCAGAAAAGAGTGGGCTGCTTCGGCTGATATTAATGGCGGAGAAAGGAATCAGAGGATTGGGTTGTTTTGTAGAGGAGGAGACGGAGGGTTTCAGTCTACTCAGATTTAGTGAAGATGACGGCTGATAAAAGGTAGCCGCCATTGAAAAGGAGTCGAGTGAGAGTGAACTTGGGTTTGAAGGGGCAGACCAAAAACCTTAATTTGACGCTTAAATTCTTGTTTGCAGAATTGCAGGGCGTAGTGGGAAGAAGATGATTGGAGAGCAGAAGACGTGCTCTTGAGCAACTTTATTTTTTATTTGCATTTTGGCACATTTTGTTCATATGCACGTGCAGCATTTCAATCAGTTGCTTGCTTGTTATTTTGTTGTTGCACTAAACATGAAATTGGCCCCTTTAAGTTAATAATAGTGTAATTGATTTCTTAGATCAATTCAAAATTTCTAAACAGGTAAAATTGTTCAATTAAGTCTAAATCAATCTATTTAGTAAGTTAATGCACTCTTATTTAAATATTTATTTTTAAATACAACAACCGGTTGTCGACAGCTAAGGGCTGTCTCCTTCGTGGCTATTTGGTGATAATAGCTATAGCTGGAGAAAGTATGAACAGAAAAGGTCAAAGAAGTGAGTATCCATAGAGTTACTACAAATGCACACATCCAAGAAGAAAGTAGAGCGATCCCATAAGAGTCATATTACAAAAATTATCTACAAGGGTGCTCACAATTGAAACATATGACTCATCTCAACTAAAAGTTTAAGTGACCTTTGACATGAGTTGACTATGATACTAAATTGAAACATGTGATCCATCTCAACTAAAAAGTTAAACTGATAGTTAAATTACACATATATTATGTTCAACACTCTCAACCACCAAAAACCTCCAAGGCAGCATTTAGATTTGAAAATGCAAAACAAGATGGAATCGCAAGGCAACATTTGGATTTGAAAATGCAAAACAAGATGGAACTATTAGCATTGGTGATCCTATTTGGAAAAATGTGCAAAATGGATCTGGTGCTGGAACTCTTGAGATAGAGAGGATCTTAAACGAAGGCCGCCATAGCTGCCGCTTTTGTTTTAGAAATTTTATCTCATCTCTGAAATTTGAAACAATGCCACTCTTGTTCTAGATCTGAGACGAGAATAACCATGACCGTCAACCATCATTCTTAAACGAGGACAGCCACCCGCAGCCGAAACTAGTGGCTATTTTTAAAAAAACAAAAATAAAACATAATTAAAAAAAAAAAAAAAAAAAAAAAAAAAAAAACAAAAACAAAAACAAAAACAAAACATGCATCAACACAAAAATAACTAACCTGCAAAACATGTTAATTTGGATTCAATTGAACAATTTAAGAAACTTAATTACACTACCCGCTTGACTTAAAAGGCTAATTTGACTCATTTTCCATACTAATATCATGAGTGAATGTCTATTTGAAAGCGAACTGATAATTATATACACGACGCGATAGCTCTATTCTGGCTCGATTGAGATAGTAAAAAAAGCCCTAGTACACCTAATATAGGGAGCATATAATATATTCACCGGAAAATTATCACTAGCCTGCTCAAACAGGATTTTGTTATAGGGATTTTACTTTACTACTGATGCGATGCGGCTGAGTTGAGGAATCCATCTGAGCTTCTTAGCTCGTGCCACATGCAAAACAACGTATCAAATGCGTCCTCATCAAGCTCGCTCACTCCCGACTTGGAGATGAGTACCAGAGACTTCAACCACTCTTCATGGAGTGTTGAGAAGCTTGATCTCTGTTCGCTTGATCTAAAACTTTCTCCAATCTTTGTCTTCATTACTTTACCAGCCTTGGATGCAGATTCAACCACTTGTTTTGGGATCCCGGCCATGAGTGCTACTTGCATTCCGTAGCTCTCCGGACAGGCTCCAGAGGCCAGCCGGTATAGGAAAACAAGCTCCTGATCGTTGAGAGACTTCGATTTGAATGAGCAGGCCATGTGCTTCAAGATGACATGAGGATGGGATCCAAACTCCTTCGTCAGTGCATGATAGTGTGTAGCAAACAATTGGCGGCAGTTCACAATTTCCACAAGATGACGGAATACCTGAAGAGATTTTGTATTATGTTGCAAATTTCACTTTATTAAACAAAAAATAAAATGATAGAGTGCAACATCAATAAGAAACAACAGTAAAATCAAACTAATTCCAGCCAATGGAGTAAGAATTTCTTACTCCAACTCTCCAAGACCCTTTAAAGCCATGGATCACACTTCTATATTAACACTGAATCAAAACTTTCCACTTTTTTTTAAAGGAAAAGGAAATATCATTAAACATCACTTAAGTCATGAGAAACAGAAGAAGAAATAAAAAGAGGTCTAGAGTCATTCCTGACTTTACTAACTGCGTAGTAGCAAAACTAGCTAAAAGATGAGCAACCGTATTGGCTGTTTGATGCACATGACAAAACAAAACATCATGAAAACTTTCCATTTTTAGACTTAAAAGAGTTCTACAAGCAATGTAGCATCCATTTTTTATTTTGTCCTGGTAGTTATAAAATGCAATCAAAGTAAAGATATGTCACACATCATTATGCATTATTAGTATATTAAGTAGCCAACCAAGCAATGTGATTAAAACACAAGCAACAAATGGAGAAAATGGCATCTTACTGCATATGCGATAGCATATCCATCAAATGTGCTTGTCCCTCTGCCCAATTCATCAAGGAGAACAAGAGAATTCTGAGTGGCATTTTGCAACACTGATGCAGTCTCCCTACACTCTATAAAGAATGTGCCTGCAGAAGGAATAGATAGGAGAGAATGAGAACCAAACGCTTCATATGCCAAAGATTTTGTTGTCTAGCGGTAGAAGCTTGTGTGTGACTCTAGGTAGGAGACTAGGAATTCACAAGTTCAATCCTCATTCTCCTCAGGTATAGCCAAAAAAAATGTACTTCAAATCTTTTTATTAAAATGAAAGACAAGTTAAACTATTAATTATAAAAGCTGGTTCAACTTCTAAGTTTCAACACAAGGAACTTACTTTCACCAGTCATGATTCGGTCAGTGGAACCAAGACGAGTGAAGATGATGTCCACAAGTGAGAGAGTACATGCCTCGCAAGGCACATAGCAGCCCATCTGCAACAAATAGAAAACAAAAATAATAAAATCTCTCGACTCCAGAAATCCAAGTAGCATCTACCTTATGAAAGTTCCAGAACAACACTAACCTGGGCCATCACAACAGCCAGACATGTGGCACGTAAAAGTGTAGACTTTCCACCCATATTTGGTCCAGTTAACAGTAAAGTACAACGATTGTAGTAATCTGTCTCCCCACCGAGCTGGAGATCATTAGGAACTGGCAGCCCCTCACTTTCACTGAGGGCATAGGGGTGCCACAATCCTTTCATTTCCAGCACTGGTCCCTTATTCTCGTGTGAAAGATTTGTTGACTCTGAAAGAGGTAAGATTATTGGCCTACACATAGCTCCAGTAGAAAATGTTGCAGTAACGGCAAAAGACCTTAACACATCAACACAACCAATGGCATAAATCACTTGCGACCATTCAGTAGCCTTCTCAATAAATAACTCCATCAGAATTGATAGGGTTTCGGCATCGGACTCAGTTATATCATGATCCTGGTACCACAGGAAGAAGAAATTACTAAAAGGCTAGATTAGGTAAAATTAGATTAGTGACAACAAGCATATGTAAAAAGTAAAAGGAGTGCTTGTGTGTTTGTTTTTGTTTTGTTTTTTTGGGGTTCAGTGGGGGATGGAATATTTTAAGTCCTAATGTCTAATTCTATGAAGCCTCACCTTAACTAGACCAAGAATATGCTTTTCCATGCACAAGGCCCACAAGCATCTTGATACAGTATATAACCACTATAAAAAGAAATATGATTTAACAAACCTGGTAATTTGGGAAGTCACTGTCAATTGCCGCTTCAAATTGGGTAAGGAATTTATGCAACCCATCATTACCATGTAAAACTGGCAGTCTGAAGACTTTGGATAATGAAGAGCTCAGCTGCTCTTCCTTATGCAATAACATCAACAAATCCATGCCAATCCTCAGCCCTTTAACAAGTGATCCAAACACTTTAACCTGTTCCAAGGTAAACAAGAAGTCAAGTGTTTGTCACCAACTTCTAATTGGACTGTTCTGTTCATATATATTCATACATAATGATACTTGCTATTAATCTTCTACAATGTGAGCCTGCTACACCCTGAAGTTGAGGATAATCTCAAAGAAAAGATATTTTTTAAAAAACCATACCAACAGCATCATTTAATACTGTACTTTCAATATTTTACAATATGGCATGTGTGAAAACATGGGTGGTTTTATTAGTACAAAAGTCTCAGAAGGCAAAAAGGACGTACTCGCTGTTTCAATAATTTTCTCCCAATTGTGGGCAGCAGAAGTTCTGCAGAAGACTGATTACTAGCTTTAACACGTCCAAGCAGCCTTTCCAAATCAGGAAGCTTACGAAAGTATTGAGCAACAAATGACATTGTTTCTGAATGAGTCATAAGTTCCTCAACCACATTAAGTCTGAGGTTAACAGTATCGACGTCTTTTAATGGATGACAGATCCAGCTCCTTAGAAGCCTCTTACCGGATGATGTTATGCAATTGTCAAGATACTTGTACAGAGTCCCTGTCATACAAGTGAACAAGCTTTTAAGAGCTCATCTAAGAATTACAAAAATAAATTTGGTGGTGTCTGTCTTGGATGAGATTATAACTAAACTGTACAAGAACTTGCCTGATGGACCACCATCAGCATTATTGCCGAAAATTTCAAGATTGACTAGTGTCTGTCCATCCATTCTAAGGAAACCTCGATAGACTTCATATGTAAGGATGTCGCCATTGCGTAAAACATCATCTAACTGTAAAGAAATAAGAATCCAATAATCAACAGTATCATGTATAATTTTCAATATTACAAGCCAGTATAATAGGGCTTACCATTAGCCGCGTTAAATGACTGGCAAGTGCACCAAAAGCACAAAATGCAAGATCTTGGTGCATTACTCCATCAAAGACATGATCCCACCCATTAAGTGATCCTTTAAAGTATCCCTTCAACTGAATGAAATTTTTCACTTTTGAAGAATCAACAAAATCTGCATCTTGCTGAATGGGGGTCAATTGCGGGGCAGCAGTTCCTTTTAAGTAATAATAGGTAAAAAAAAAAAAAAAAGTCAATGTCAAATTGAGTATTCACTAGTAGTAGTAAACATAATGAATATATAATCTTT